CGTATTATATTTGGTCGAAATCATATTTTTAACATAGCTTTTTATTCCATTATAATGAAACAATAATCTTTCGTATTCGAAATAGCTCGTTTCTCTGAAGTAAGGTTTAATATTAACGAGACAATATACGGTTATAATTTATATTCGAAAATATTCTCGGGCGTTAATTTATAAGGAAAATAATATTCTAAACATTTCGCACTCGCTTATATAGTTATAACTAAACTGTTGGAACAGGCTTGAACGATCAATCATGATACTCGAGTATTGGGTCAAGGTCACGATGTTGCTGATGGTTGGATTGGGAGGTCTAGCTGGACCTGAAGGTCTGGTTAAGTGACCTCGCAACCCAGTATGTAATCTTTTATCTAATCATACATGTGGGCCCTGGTATGGATGGTTTGCAGGCTGGAATCGCATGGATCTATAACAATTTTATTACTTATAACTATTAGGCTATGATTTAAAACCTTTATTTCAAAAATATCGAACATTAAGCCTCATATTCAAATATGTGTACAATAATATATACGTTAGTATTTTGACCTTTAACGGTTAATTATCAATATTATAATATCTATTTATATTATAGTTATTATAATAAACGGACCATTGTCTTTGAATTTAAGATTTTCTAAACTTAATGATGTTTTATATATAAATCCTAAAGTTTTATATAACACTTTATAATTCTTAAACTTACCTTTAAATTACACCTTTATTTAAAAGACGATATTTTCTGCTTTGTTTAAAAATGTCTCGTACTTTTAGAAATTTTCCTTTTTTAAAAAGTTTCTCCGCCCTTTCGAACGTGTTAATAAAATTAAAATAGATTAATATAATAATGATAAAAAGGCAACGTAATGTCACGATGCCTGCGGCGGTGTGTTGCAATCTGGGATTGATTACGAAAATAAAAAGGTGAGGAAGGAAAAGGAAGCCAGCAAGGTGGTGTGCGCAGCACACACCTTAAGTGGTGGTCCCGTTCCTTCCTTATCCAATCTACACGTGACCTGGTGGGTCACCTGACCAGAGACCAGGTGGGTGGACCGTCACACGTAAACGTAAATTTTTATAAGTTAAGAATTTAGCTTCAAGTTTGAATATTTACTCTAATAATATATTTTAATACATAATGAAAATAGAAATCCTTTAAACGTTATAAAATTATTTCATGTATAATAATGTTTAAAGATTCGATGTTTAAATTAAGTAAATATATTTTATTAGGTAGTTTATTTATAAGTTAAGAAATAAATTCAATATTAAATATAAGATATATCCAAAAGATTAGTTTGTTTTTCTACTTTAATTTATAAACCTGTTTTATTAAATGTTATAAGCTATTGTTTTCCTTAAATTTTATCTTTTTATTCCTTCAAGTACATTATTAACTACATCTTACTACTTATTAGTTAATATTACACTTATATAACACTTAAACCATAGTACTAAATATATATATTAAAAGCGGAGATGTTTATTTTGAAAGGAAATAAATGTTTGAAATGATATTTAATCTTGTAATATATAATTTCCTCATGAAGTTTAAAGTTTAAAGATCAAATTATTTTAAATACCTTATAAAATAATGATATTTAATTAATAAGAGTTTCAATAGTATACCGCTTTTATAATACTAGTAGTAAGTTAAAATGTAACGCTTAAAACCCGCATTAAACGTATACATATATATATTATATTTATCTCTTTAAGTTTTAATATATATATAGTAGTTTATTTGTTAAGTTTTTTATATTACGTTATACTTATAATTTCATGTTAAGCGATACAGTTTGTTTTTTGGAATAAATAAATAAATAAATATATTTATGAAATGTTTTATACATATATTAATATATTAAAACGGCTATTTAAAATCTATTAAAATGTTAGCTTTTATTATAGAAAACCTCTTTAATTGAAAATTGAAGTAATGTTATATTTCTTAATGTTTTATAAATAAACATACTTATTAGTATATTGTAATAAAATCAAGTTTTAACCTTATAATATTTATTAAATCTACGGGCTTATATAGCTACTTTATATTAATATTCAGTAGTAAAGTAGTTGCTTTAAATAAATTACCGCTCTTACCGTTTATATAACTATGTCTTTAAAACGAGGGCCTCTTATAATATATACCGGTAGCCTTAGTGTTCAAAAACGTGAAAAGCTTAGAATTTTCCTTTTATATTAAATCTCACGCTAATATTATATGTGTAAGTTGTTTTAATATCGGCGTTTTTTTAAAGGGGTTTAAAGTTCATAAAAGTAAAATAAAAAGCGTATTATTTTATTTTAAACTAAAATTTAAATAACTGTTTTATATAAATAAAACTCTTTACAACTAAAAGTAAGAACAGGGTTTTGAAAGGTATAAAAAGGGCTAGTATAATAACACCTTAAAGAAAAATGTGTCATGGTCTGGTACAGGTAGCCCATGTGGTGAGTGCTGGAGCCCGGACATGAGTACATGTACCACTATTGAATGTCAAGCTGCCACGCTTGATATTCGACATCCTTTTGGGAGGAACAGCCGTGGCATGGTGGTTATGGTGAGCGTTCCGTCACAAAATGCAAATGTTTAAAAGTTTAAGTTAAATTTTATAATCGTTAAATAATTATTAAAGCCGTATTAAAGCGATAATCGTAAAGTTGTTTAGTTGGAAGCAAAATTAATTGTTAAAAGCTAGCTATAAAAGCTGTGACGGCCTGCACAGACCTTCCCACATGACAAGCGGATACTTCCCAATAGGGGAAGGATCTGACCAGAGGATCCCCTTAAAGGGGCAACCTCCCACTGTACCTATCTCTCTCTCTCTCTTCCTTTCCTCTCTAGTCTAGATATTCTCGTCAATAGAGTAATAGCTGCTTGCTGCCGGCCATGTCCCAGCTCCTCAGTACGCTCGCCGTGACAAAAGCGGTCAAAAGACTTGCTGTTTTGCAGAGAGCTATAGTACTGATCAGGCGTGGAAGCCTTGTATATATACACACAAGTTTCCTTTGTTCCTGGCACGCTTTCTGACAATCTGTGCCTTGTTGATTGATTTTATTTATTTATCGTGGGTGCAGTCCCTCAACAGGGCAAACCACGCCTCCCAGAGCCATTGCATCGCAAGGTTGTAGAGGTGTCAGTCTAGATACATTCAGATCCGCGCACGAGCCCATCCTCGCTGTAGCGGTACCAACCTGGAGTGTCCAGATGGTTTTTAGTCAATACCTAAGCACGATTCTGTCAGAAAAACCTCCTGTCCAGTGACAAAGCGACCCAGTAGCCGTTCGATATATGTCGCATTGGTGGATGAAATAGGTGTTTGTTATCTGCTGGCGAGGGAAATCACAAGGGGAAAACCCTCGCAGGAGTGGGTATTGTGGAGACAAGCTGCTTGGCTATCGGGCTTCGCGATAATGGGGCCTCTCCACTGTCGTGTGCTGGTTATCGACTCGCACAAGCCGGGTCAGAAGGGGGCCGTAGCAGGATTCGAACCCACTTGTTCTCGTTGCCCACCGCACAAACGAGAACACAACCAAGCACATTTGACCATTGCGCCATACGGCCCACTCTGTGCCTTGTAATCCATTGCTGCCTTCGTGATATTCACCAACCTTGGCCCTAGGGCCGGATGCTTAAGGTATGCCTTTGCTTCGGCAAGAGTTCCGATCGTGAACAACATGCCCAGAGGACAAGTGGAGAACTAAGGCGGTGGGAAGATGTACCACATCCACTGTGTCTTCTTAAGCCGTTCTCCATCTGCCTCGAGGCAACTTCAAATGAGCATTGGTTCGGTATGTTCTGGGCAGTCAGGAACCGCTAAGATAGATGTCGTCGGCTGCCATGTTTGACGAAAATGGCTTTCGCGACTGGATTGAGGCGCGTAGAGTACTTTGCATTTGTTGGATAGCGGGCTTATGGCTTCACCTCCGGTGTTTGAGGTAACTTACTCACAAGTCAGCGAGTGGCAAGTGTCAAGAAATAAGGCTGCGGTCCTCAACATACCCCATTGGGCACCTGGGAGCCATCTCGTTGGATTTAGTGGAGATCTTTGAAGACGCTCAGATTCATTGGTTTGATTCCCAACTGAAGTATTGTTTTGGGTCGAGAAAGAAAACACAATGACGCTGTTGGTGCCATTACCTAAAGACTACTTATCCGTTTCCAGCCAGCAACATTGGGTAGACTCTCAGCTAATATTCAATTTTGCTTGGCTCCTCTCATCCAACGGCCGAAGCCCTGGAGAAGAGCGTACGAACTACAAGTCTGGCTTGCTAACAGCCGTTGTTGGTTTGGTCGGCTGCACTTCTTCCACAGCCATCGGAACGTCATCCATGTCAAAATTTGCACAAGGTGACCGGGAGAAGGCATTGAATGGCCTATTTGGAGACATCTTCATCACTCCATTACGGCAGGTCGAGAGAAGCTCCTCCGATACCGCGGGCTAATTATAGGTATGCGACGGCGTCAGGACTCAGCGGCCCTGGCGATCTCGAAATATATTGCTTGCATGCAGCTAGAAGGGGGGCTATGATAAGGCCGAGATGCACCTTAAGTGGGGAGCTGAAACTTGCAAGCCTTGAACTAAGACCTATTAGCCAACCGGGGCCTTTTTTATTTTCAGCTTGAGGCTAAAGGATCATAGGCAAGGCAAGGGTGATGCTGGAACTGAGATACAGCCCAACTCATCTGCATCGTGGACACGAAGCCAGTATGCCTTACCGTTCCCTCGCTGATGCCACATCCTTGTAGCCAGGCTGATTTGCCTATACCGGCGCTCGATTACGCAGGTAGAGGATGGAGCTGAAGGGAGGGCGGTGGAGATGGGTTTATCGTAACAAGGCGCTGGTCAACTGCAGCGGTAACGCGTCCATTCCGAGTTATTATAAAAGGTCCTCTTGCTCGTCTGCCATAAGTACAAGAGAGAACACAATTATCATCCAGTCTCAACATCCGGTCCTCCCAGCATCTTCACCACCAGTCCCAACGATACCAAGCAACCATGTTCCACAGCACCATCGCCATGTTCACCCTCCTGGCCACGGCCATCCAAGGCGCCCCTGCCATCGACTCAACCCCCTCCCACATCCTCCCCCGCGACGGTATCACCAACTGCGACGACACCTCCACGACCTACAGCGGCACCTACACCGAAGGCTCCGGCACGTACGTGACCTCGGACAGCGTCACGCACCCCTACAAGTTCCCCGCGATCCGCAAGTGCTGGTACGACTACTTCATCACGTCCGCGGACGTGGCCCTCGACCCCTGGACCAAGGCCTCGGGCGACATCTACTGCTCGGACTCGAGCCCATGCTTGGCGCAGAAGCTGAGCGCGTCCCAGACGTGCCAGAGCAAGTCTACCGCGATCAGCGCCTCGGTCGGGGCCGATATCGAGGGGTTCAGTCTGGGCGTTAGTGTGACGCTTACTACGGAGGATTCAAAGTGGTATGTATACAAGAAATCTTGCTTTCCTCCACTGTCTCGGACTTCAGGGCGAAGTGTTGACATGCTGCCAGTTTCACTGCCACCGACGTGACGGCCTGCTCCTGGACTGATCAGGCTTGCCACACCGTCTGGACCCAGCAGCAGGTCCTGGTCCAGAAGGGCTACAGGCGACAGCGCTGCGACTGGGGGAACGGCGACGAGACGCAGTGCATGGCCGATTGGACTGTGACTACGCCGACTGAGTCGATCAACTATGGATGTGGCTCGGGTTGCGGTGACAGCAATGCGTGTGGCAACACCGATGGGACTGCGTGCTGAGAGGCTAGAGTTAATGCTGTTTGATCACGGTGGAGTGAGTTGCCTGCTGCAGTGGTCAAGCGATGGATTTGAAGCTGGACTCTTGGGAATTGTTTGTTTGTTTTGTATTTAACGTGGGGGGTAGCTCCTCAGTAGTGCAGACCACGCCTCCCAGAGCCTCTGCATCGCAGGGTTATGGAGGTCTCAAGAAAATAAGTACAGTCAGTCCCGCTCACGGGCCCATCCCCGTTGTTGCGGCGGTATGACCTTGGGGTCATCCATCTGGTCCTTCAAGAACAGCTATCTATCGGAGACAGATTGTTGAAAAGAACTTGCTCTTCTCCACGAATTTTGCCCATTCTGTGCTCCTCTCCCCTAAGTATTGTAAACAGGCTGTCCTAGGCGAGTACCTAGGCAACAACCGATTTTTTCCTAGCCTCTTACAAAAGAAAATATGTTGTGGTGTTTTCTTTTCACCACAGCTGCAGTGGTTGTTCGAGTCTGTATGCCCAAAGCGTTCGGGACTCTTGGGAATGATATTGGTTTTTTCCCCCTTGTCTAATAGTTTATTAGATATCTGTCCTGACTTTGGCAATCTGTTGTGAAGGACGTGTTGAATGGCGCGCAAGCCACCGTGGCGTTCAGGGAGGTGGCAGTGCACCAACAAGGCCAATAAGGCATTTTTGGGCCACTTAGCCCACAGAAGGATTTTCGCACAGATACAACAAGAACACGGATTACACCAGAATATACGTTTTCACCCATCTAAAAGCCCCCACGCTCTGTTTGACAGGACGCGCATATACTCAAAACGATATCTCAAAAACACATCTTCAGTGCAACCTGCGACTATTCCATCTCTAAACCGCAGCAGGCATTCTCAAGCGCTACTTTGATAGCGCACCAGCAATCTGAAGGGCGCTCGAGGGAACGTGAAGTTATGCTTCATCGGAAGCTATCCTAGAGCGGGATGGACTTCTCTCTCGTCCAGCTGTGATCGCCACTGCTCCTGATAGATCTTCCACCCCGGCGGACCAATTCGAGCTGCACATCAGCATGGCCAAAGGCTTCGGAGATCTCCCCGGCGTCCTCTGGTCTTCCTGGTTGTTTGTTTTGTATTTAACGTGGGGGATTGCTCCTCAGTAGTGCAAACCACGCCTCCCAGAGCCTCTGCATCGCAGGGTTATGGAGGTATCAAGATAATAAGTACAGTCAGTCCCGCTCACGAGCCCATCCCCGTTGTTGCGGCGGTATGACCTTGGGTCATCCATCTGGTCCTTCAAGAACAGCTATCTATCGGTCTTCCTGGTTGTTCGAGATCCAGCACGACCCGGCTTACTTGCGGGAAAGCGGACCAGTCCCACTCCTTTGCCTTCTTGAACAGCCCCAGCATCTCACGCGTAGCAACACTCCGTGAGTCGCCCTCGTTGGGATATCTGGAGTCCGTGAATGTGAACTCGGTGACGGGAGTAGGGTGACGGGAGTAGGATGACGATGCCGGCATTTGCGTCGCCGTTTGCGGCTCATTGAGGTTCTGTCAACAGCCCACGACGATGCAAAAGGGCTTACTATACCAGGTGCTCAAAGCAGCTACCATATCTTATCTGGGATAAGTACCGTGTGAATGAATGCCTTCGTACCGACGTCGATAGCATGGCAAGAGGAGTGCAAACTATAGTCCCACTACCCTCGGGTGGTGCTTCCAGGTATTGTCCCATGGGCCATCATCATGCTGCCGATGGATCGTGCCTAGGCGTCACTTTCAAGCTATGGTGACCAATGGCAGGACCCCTATTCAAGTCACGGTCACGTTCTCAAGGGATTTGGCGTGAACAGTAGCTACTGCCACTTGGGTCTGGAACAAAAGCCACTGATATACCGGCATTGCACCCTTTTCGCACGATTTACGTCTCCCACGGTTCAGGGGCATCTTACTCTAAATAACAACTCTACCACCCCAAACCAATCCAACCATTTGAAATGAAGGAACCTGAGTGCTCCTCGTGCGGCTTTGACTGTAGGTCAACTCCATTTCCATGTCAACAACCTTCCACATCTACCCCCGCTATGCCATTACCCCGTCCCCTAATCCGCTGCTCTCCCAACTTCAACCTCATCTCAGATACACAAGACTGACACTGTTCCTTCCCATAGGCAAGTCTAGATTATTGGCACGTGGTTTACCCGGAGGCTGACGGTAGGGCTTTCTGGCTGGGACTACTTCGAATGGAAGGCTTGAGCCATTGTGTGCCTGTGCCGGCAAAGACAGAAAACGCCAAACGAAGGCTAGAAGCGGACCCACGGCGAACCAAATGCGTGCCACCGGCACCATCTACTTGCCACCGCCCTCCTCCTCATCCTGCTTAACATTCTCCACAACAAGGGCCTTGCGGTTCTACGCAAATGGCTAGCGAGTGCGCCGCAGAGGAGCGACAAACTCCTTACGACCTTAGCATGATTGCCGCCAAATTCGATACTGGCGTCACTAATACTTCGCAGCGAGCCCGCGATGGCCTCGTTGGCCCTGGCCAGGCGCTCAGTCGCGCGCGCAGCCTGCTCTAAGGCCAAGAGCTTGCGCTCACGATGCTCAATCTCTGCGATATAGGTTATCAGGGGCCTCGTTGCTGGCTACCGGCAAACCACATACCCTCGGCTTGGTCCTTCTCGCCAGGCTGCATGGCCTGGCGCCAATTGACCTGCGCTGCCTTCACCTCTGCCTACCAGGTGGTTAGCTGGTACATTGCCACTGGTTAACCTGAGCCAAGCTATCTAGGTAGGCAATACATACGATATGCTGGACACCGGCCGTCGTGCAAAACCCGAACAAGCTCGAGGCCGCGGGACTTCAAGGGGCCACGAGGCTACACACGTGTTAGCTGCGACCCTGCAATAAGGCAAAACGGGTCTTGCATTGATACAAGCCTTGTGGCTACCCTACGACAGGCACACTTGGCTGAAGCATCTGATGGGAGTTAGCATCATACAAACCCCGCCGTCGCCTCACCGGTGCCTTGCTTACTGTCCGCTTCGCACGCAGAAGGGCTCCTCTCCAGCCGTCCAGCGGGCCATCTTATGCAGGCAGCGGGCACAGGGTATAGCACGTTCGGCCATATTGTTCTCCTGGCAGCTGGTCAGCAGGTGCCTAGCACTTGGCTCGCGGCTACTGCTACGTACGTTGTTGTTGTGGTGGTGGTGGTGGTTTGTCGATAATTGCCTATAACCCATGATCAGTACCGAGCCCCTTGCGATCACCCTGCTAACCAGCTGCGGCGTATGTGCGTATCTACAGCCCACACGGCAACTCGACCGGGAGTAGGAAGTTGGCTTACGACTTCGTTGTCTATGATACATCGAGAGAGACTCAATAAAGATGTCAGCAACTACGTATACGCGCATGCGCGCGAACAGGGACGAACTCACGAAGGCGGATGTGGTGGCTAAGTCACATGAAAGGAGCAGGTCGCCAACGCATTTGAAAAGCTGCTTTTAACACCATTGAAGCATTGGTTCCTGAGGCATCAAAAGTCATCTCCATCATTCACTCCATATCCCACATCACACATCCAACATCCAGAGGCGCGCACCCTCACAGTATTGCGCGCAGACGATGAGGTAATAACCCGACCAGATCAAACGAAGCACATCGCCGCTGCGATTCGAATAAGGCTACATCCGTTCCCAGGCTTGCCACTGAGAAAGAAAAAAGCCCCCATCATCGTCCAGACCGCCGCCGTCCAGTTAACCCAGGCTTATACCTCGGGTACACTCTCAGTGGCCGAGATGTACTGTGCCTCCCCAGTATACCTCCAACGACTAAAATACGCATTCCCACCACCCGGACACTCTACCCCTGACCCAGCCCCGTTGCAAGTGGCATAGGCGCCCACGAGGCTCCCGACAAACGACCCATTCCCACCGCTCACTAACCCGGCCGACACCGTGCCGATCGTCACCGTGGCGTTCGGGTTTGCAGCCGACATGGCCGCCAGGCTGTAGTGGGTAGCATTCGCCGCCCGGATCTGCAGGCGTATGGGTGCGCCAACCCAGCCCGCCGGCACCGGCAGAGTCTTGGGCGCTGGCGGCGTGCCGGTGCCTTCGGCGCGCAGGCGGAACGCCAATTGTGGCTCGGCGCGGGTCTTGATGGTCGGGTACGAGGCGTTGGGCGCGAGGAGGACGACGCCCAGGTCGATGTGGTTGACTTGTGTGAGGAAGACCGTGATGCCGGCTTCTTGGCCGACGGACTGTGGGGTGAATGCGAGGTCCACACTGTAGGTGAAGAGCGTGTCTGTCTGGCGGCGACCGATGAAGGAGAGGCCGCTCTGGCCGCTCAGCTCGGGGGTAGTCTCGGAGTACGGCGCGCCGGTTACGTTGTTACGACTTGGTACGATTTCGAGGCCCTCGTCCGTGATGGAGAAGGTGCCGTCGCGGGGTACACGCCAGTACACCAGGTTCCGCGGGATTGGCGTTCCTATGGCAAAGTCATACACGTCGTCGTCCGAGTTGAAGGGGCCGTCTCCCGGGATATCCCGGTCCGTCTCAGGCATCGCCCACCCGCTCATGTTGCCTCTGACCGGCTGCAGGACCGGCCACTCGCCATCCTCCCACGTCACCGGGAACAGCGACGCCTCGCGGCCCATGGGGTAGATCTCGAACTCGGGCCCGGAGCGAGTAGCCAGACACATGCCCCACCAGTTCCCGTCCGGGTCCTGGAACAGGTCGCCGTGTCCCACGGTCTGGAAGTATTCGTCCGTGCCGCGGTTCGTGAGGATTGGGTTGCCCTCATACGCCTCGTACGGGCCCGTGATGCTGCGTGCGCGCGCGATCGTGATGGAGTGATCCGTGGCCGTCCCGCCCTCGGCGATCATCAGGTAGTAGTAGCCGTCCTTCTTGTAGATGTGCGGACCCTCGGGCCACACGCCGCCCGTGCCATTCCACAAACTGATGGGCGGCTGGCTGAGTGCGCCGGTCGCGAGGTCGAGCTCCTGCAGCACGATGCTCTGCGTCGCCACGTAGACCTTGCCGTCGTCGTCCCAGAAGAGGTCCGGGTCGATGAAGTCGGGGCTGAAGGTCACGGGGTCGCGCCAGGCGGCGTCGTCGAACGGGTCCGGCGTCGTGAACACCACGCCCATGGTGCCCGGCTCCAAGCCTAAGTACTCGCAGATGACGTAGAACTGGCCGTCGTGGTGGCGCAGCGTTGGCGCGAACATGCCGTCCTGCTGGCCGGTGGTGTTCCAGCTCGCGCCCGGCAGCTGGCTCTCGCGGTTCCACGCATGGCTGGCTAGCTTCCAGTTGACGAGGTCCTTGGAGGCGTATATGGGGAGGCCGGGGAAGGCGATGAAGGTCGATGTCGAGCAGAAGAAGGTCCCGTTGACTTGCGTGCACTGCGCGTACGTTAACATCGTGTTCTTGACCCCGTACAGACGATCTCTAGATGAAGAAGGAAAGGGAACAACGAACTGATGGATCAGAGTGCCAACCTGGCAGCACGGGGTTGTAGTATGTCGAGTTGCTCGCCTGTGCACTGCCCAAGGAGGCCGTGGCGGCTGCGAGTGCCAGTTCAAAACACCAGGAAGACTTCATTGTGGATCTGGCTGTGCTTATGCGTCCAACATGAAGGCCGATGCGAGCGCCGCCCCCCGAATCCGCGCAGCGAGGACGTGTTTATTTATCCATTTCACATATCGGTTCTGCGTTGAGACGTCCCTTGGCCATCTTGGTAAATTTACTCCGAGCAGCATCATTGGTTTCTCGTCAAATGCGGAGATGGTTCAATTTAGCCGGTTGTTGTTACTCCAGGTACTCCACGTTACGAGGCGGGGGTATATGTATAGAGTCTAAGAATACTCTACGTGTTTAATCTTCATTTTACCAGTATTAACACCAGCGTATACGTCATGGCAGTCAGCGCGATCTGAATGCGACCCTGGCACCGGCACGGCGGGAATGTTCTGTGTGGTCTTTCCTGGTATAGAGGCGCACAGACGATATGGCCGTGTGTTCGCACAGACAGTAACTACATGCCCATTCGGGTTGTCGGCAGGCCGCAGGCGTGGCAGGTTCCCCGGGTTGATGGGGCTCTTGCTTCCAGGGTCACACAGGTGACAGTGCTGGATTGGCAGAGCCCAGATCACCGACGTGTAAAACCATATTGCTACTCTCATGCCGGGCCCCGACACGTCTGATCATGAGGTCGATATACGGAATTGCTCGTGTTAGAGGAAAGCCCGTTGTTTTGTCAGACTTGGGCTATGTATCCGGAGCCTGACGGTGTGGCTATCTGGCAAAATCACACGCCATTATATGAGTCATGGAACTGGAACGGTCAAGACACGGACAGACTCGGTGGATCGTCTGGCTCTGAGTGGTACCTGATGAGTAGATTACGATCTCATGGGACGTTAGTGAATTTATCTGATGACAGCAAATACAGCCCTTGATCTTGCTTTTGGTTGATCAGCGATGCTCAAGATTGCGACCGGAAGCAATCTTTTTTCTGGACCTAGCTCTTCACGTTTTTGACTCCCTATGTTGCCCTTTTTGACACGGACCTCCGACCTTCGACCTCCCACCTCCGATTCCTACCAATTTCCCTACTACAGCGTGATAGCGGTGGCATACTTGGCCAGCAACGGATCCTTCAGCAACCTAGGCAGGCACTTCGTTTCGACACCAACGAGGATTTCGATCCCACCCTCAGGCAACGCCGGCACCACCAGCGAGCCACCGTTGATAACGCCGACATCCGGACTGCGGCACGCCTGGACCTTGTTGCCGAGTGTCTTGCCCCAGTTCAGCTCGTAGACGGGCAAGTTGATCCAGGACGTCTGCACACAGTTGTAGCCGGGCACGTCCAGGAACGCCGTGGCAACGACGCGGTCCACGTCCTCGACACTCTCGAACAGCGCGCTCAGGTCGTCGACGTACTGGTCGCTGAGGCCCGTCACGGACTTGCGGATCAGCACGGCGATGTCGGCCAGGCTGGCCGTCGACAGCATCTTGCGGATGGGCGTCTGCACCACCACCCAACCGAGCCAGTTGCCCAGGGTGCGCGGGTGCACGGGGGGATCGGTGCGCGAGCGGCCGTCGATGGCGATATTGAAGATGGACGTGGGGTCTTCCTTGAGCTCGTCGAGGGGGAACTGGGCGTTCATGACGGAGCGCCACATCAGCGCCGACAGCGCGTCGTTGCTCGACACGTATTTTTGGTCTGTTGGCTCCGTGGCGTTGGTCGGCGACGCATCGGCCTTGAGGGCCGCGAGCTGCTCCGCCGTGAGCCGGAAGACCTGGCCCACGTGCTCGCGCGAGATCATCTTGGGCGGGAAGCCTGGGGGCGTAAAGGGCAGCACCATGACCTCGGGGTGATCCTTGACACGGCCGGCGTTGCGGCCCGACGGCTTCATGTGCTTCTCGCGGTCGGTGAAGAAGACGTCGGGCACCTCGTTGCGGGGGCCCGTCTCGCCCTGAAGGCGGCGGCACTCCTCGGCCCACGTCTCGAGGATGGTGTAGTAGGTCTTGGCGTCGCCGAAGACATGAAAGAAGCAGCAAGTCAGGAGAAGGCCGCCCTGGATGAAGTTGGCCTGGAAGTCGACCGTAGGCAGCCGCTCGCCGGGCGACGGCCAGGTGAAACGCCGGCACAACAGGTCACCCGGGAAGGCGGCAACCGGGAAGGTCTTGTCCTTGAGCTCAAGGTAGGTGTGCGGGAACGCGCCGGGCTCTCGGAGGTCCTTGGACGTGATGGTGTCGTAGTCGGTGTACTTCTGTAACTTCAGAACGCCGGCCTGCTTCGCGGCGGTGTCGGGCACGCCCTCACACCCAATGGTGGGAAGGCGCTGCTTGGCGGCGTCGAGGCCGTCCTTCAGAATGCGGAAGCACTCGTCACTGTCGTAGTTCTCGGGCAGCTCGATGGGGAAGACGAAGCGAATGTAGCCCTTGGGTCCAGCCTTCTCCAACGGGATCAGGGCCGGGACGTCTTTCGCATATGCCGAGGCCATGATTGAGGGTCGATGATTGATGATTGATGATCAATATTTCTGGGACTACCTAGTCAGGTTGCCTGGAGATCAAGGAAGATTGGAGCAACTTGGGGGAATGACGGAAGCAGGACTACACTCGTCAGAGGCTCAGAGAGTCAGAGCCGAATTATGAAGTTTCGCGGGTCGACAGTGGACTTTGCGTCGACGCCAATCAATGTCTTGCTTGGGTGCTTCTTGGGTGCTTCTTGGGTGCTAAGGGGGATCCCCTCATTTGGGTTCCATCACATGCAAGGGTTATAATGCGGTACTGGAAGCACTGCACTGCACTGCACTGTAAGTCTGTACTGTACGTATAACAGGCAAATTAAAGATCAGGCCTGGAGATTGGCACCGCTTCAACTTCCAAGGCAGATCGGGAACTTCAATCGAAGGCAAGCTTCCAGGGTCCGCTACCGCTACCGCTACCGGTACCATGTCGGCATGTAAAGACTCTTAGACTCGGGAATTAGACTGCCAGTCCCATGGTTCATGGTATGCAGGCCGCCCATCGCAATCACGGCATGTCCTTGACCTTAGAAGCTTAGGTATAGTTAATAAGTAATGTTGGTGTTTCAGTGCCGAGGTGAGACGTTTGGACGTTCAACGTTGCCATGTGGTGTTTGAGGCGGATGACTACTAACCTTAGGTACCTACTTTGACCAGCCATTACTACATAGCAGAGGCGGCGGCAGAAGGTGCTCGTGCTGAAAATTCTCAAATTCTCCCAGGTCCACCAGCAGAGTCCAGACTGCGGTGCCTTCCCCTCCCCCCTATTCCCCTTGTCCAGATAAGAGCCGGGGCCCTGCCTATAGGTAGGTACCCACCAGGCCCACCAGGTCCACCAAATAGGCAGGTCGCTAGGCGAGCTAGAGACCGGTTGCGGCGGCCCGCAGACTTGCCTTGACTTGCCTTGACTTGAGCCCCTCAGTCGGTCACAACGCTATGCCCGTTTCGATGCTCCAGCTCCAGCTCGAGCTCCACCCCCGGGCCCCGGCCCCCCCTTCCCCCCGACGATCCGATCAGGACTATCAGCGGGACCTGGCCATGGGCCGATGCATGCAGCAGCATACCTATATTAGACATGGACGCGTTGGCTGGAGAGTCGAGACGGGCGCTCTTTTTCCTCTTTGAGACAACCTTGCGGTCTACTAATACTGTGTGTGTCGTGGTCACTGGTCACGCACTCTTCAGACTTCCTGGGCAGCTGCCAGCAGGAGTGCACACATGAGAGGAACTGAGAAGTATCCTTCTTGTTGATATCAGTAGTATTGTGCTATAACAAGTAACGTGATATGATGAGAGCAACTAGTACAGCTCCATCGCCTGATCCTTCGAGACGTCAGAAAGGCTACTCCCTCCCATCTGATCTGGAACATGATGCATGATTCATAAATCATGATACAAACCATACCAGTCTGCTGGGATTCGGCAACCCTCTCGTGCCTCGTGCCTCGTGCCTCGTGGGATGCGGGGAGTTGGCGAAGTAGGGTTGCATGAAGAAAGAACATGCCAATTGTGATGCGTCTCGCATCCTTCAGATCATCGACGTTTCATCTGACAGCTTGCTGACCTATGCATCGTCTTTCGACTGTTAAGCCATACTACCCAGCCGTACTACTTGACTACCTGTTATCAACAGACCAAGCAAATAACTGCTTACCTATCTCCTAGGGTTGTAATATTCGCTACAAGGATACCAAAATGGATAGTGCCGTCGCCACTGCTGCGGCGCTGCCTGAATTCATCCCCTGCAGGTTCTGCTCATTCGCCGCACCCTAGGAGTCTACTCCGCACAGACAAATTACCAGCTGAAGAACATCATGCCGGGTCTGCCGGCCAGCGCGGTACCGAGTCCCGATCTCTTCTGCTTCTCTTAGGGTGCTGGTGTTGCAAGACTTCACAACTGATGAATCAATGAACTGGACTGATAGTGAGGTTGAGGCTGAATGTGTCCCCCTTGCCCCAGCTGACACAACTAGGCGCTGAGACGGACCAAGTTCAGTGGAGTTGTAGTTGGTTGACGATTGACGAGGTTGGAGACGCCATTAAAAGTTAGCACCTTGTTGAGGTGTCAGGTGGAACAGGTGGCACGGCAAGGGGAGGGAGGAGATCGGAAGAGATGATCCAATACTAGAGCGAGACATACTTACCACACCGCCGGGTCTCGGAGACCCTCCCATGCCTCCCACGCCTCCCAAAGCGCCATTCTTTGTGTAATAAATCTGGGTTCGCAGTTCATATCCCACTATCTTTAGGCCTTGCCGATGATAATGGCCCTCGGCAAGTTGACATGGCACAGCAGCCCCTGAAGGCATGATCGTACAACCCGGCCAAATCCTCCAGGAGTCTGGAAGTATGTCAGCCATGATCCATCCCGCTCTCCCGCCAATGGGGCCCTGGACAGTCTGTAGGGGTAGCATGCCACGGGCAGGGGACCCATCATCGAAGACTCGAAGGAAGATGCAGATCGCGCCTTCACATTGTTCTCTGCTTATTTCCCCGTGCCGTCTTCAATCTGCCGCTCTTCTGTCGTCGTGCCATGCAGCCAGCCTTTAGCTATTAAATAAAATACCGCAGCGGTGCTTTTTCCCGCCCTTCGCCCAACCTGCATTTCTGCCTGTCCCGTCTCTAGAAAGACTCGTTCGAATAGGTTTCTGCCCGTTGCCCGTTGCCCTTGACGTTGCCGTTGCCGTTGCCGTTACCGAGCTGTGCTCCCAATGGCGAGTGCCCCTCCTGCAGGCATCGACCTGGAGGCGAGCCAGCAGACCGCCATCAGTGTGGTTGCAATCGTATGCACCTGTGTCGCTACCGCTGCCTATGGTGTGCGGCTATGGGCGAGAAACTTCCAAGGCTTTGGCATGATGGCCGACGACTGGCTGATGCTCGTCGCTCTCGTGAGTCGGTCCACGGAGTCCTTGGTGGCTGGGCCGTGCCTCTAACCCGCGTCGACAGATCTTCACTTTCGGCACTCTTGCCATCACCATCTTGGGCGCCAGGGCGGGCGCCGGGAAGCACGTCTGGGCTCTTGATCCTCAAGATGTCGCAAACGTCTTTGAGGTATGCGGCCTTACCTTTTACGCCCGGCCGTGACAGCCAGCTCATCGCGCACAGTTGCTATACTCGTATACGTACATCTACGCCGGCAGCGTCTCCTTCACGAAGTTGTCCGTCCTGCTATTCTATCGCCGGCTGTTCGAGAGAGGCACGAAATGGTTCCACTACCGCCTCGCGTTCGCGGCTTTCCTGTGTGTCGGCTACCCCATCACCATCTGGGGCGTCGCGGCCGGCATGTGTCGGCCGGCGTCCTTCTTCTGGACTCAGTTTATCGGCGGGGAGGGCAAGTGTGTCGATGTCAACGCCGCGTTCCTGAGCTTGACCGTCATCAACATGGTCAACGATATCATTGTGCTGCTGGTGCCGATCCCCGAGATCTTGCAGTTGCAGATGTCGACGCAGAAGAAGCTCGCCGTATGCGGTGTCATGTTATTGGGAGGCTTGTGGGTGCCCATTCGTGCCGCTGCTGTACTCGCGAAAGCTAACCAACCTCCAGTGTGTGCGTGGCCAGTGTTGTTCGAATATGGGCCTTCGCCGACTTCGCCTCGACTCCCGACGTCACCTGGATCGCCGCGCAAGTGTTCCTCTGGTCGTCCGTCGAGCCCGCGTTCGGCATCGTGTCGGCGTGCCTACCGAGCTTCCGTCCGCTATTCCGTCGCGCGAGGACCAAGATGTCATCGGGCGGCACGCGGGACGGACAGAGCGGTAATAGATGGGCCGGCAGTTCGTCCAAGCCGAGCCGGGTCGGAAACAGCTATATCCGCTTCGGAACCGACAACGAGTCGGGCGAGGACGAAGTGGCCCTGACAAGCATCAGCCGGGGGCCCGACGCGCCCAAGTCGCACCCACACAACACCATCATGGTTCGATCCGAGATTCACCAATTCAACCAGGCCAGGTGACGACACCTACCAATACCAACGGAATATCAAGGCTTGACTTTATAGAATTCGCACAGGGAGAACCCAACAGGCTGCTTGGACCTCTGGCGAAGTGTCGTCGTATGTAAGATTCGTCCGCGCAACCCGCACCTGTTATGGAATTCTTGTACATAGGGGGCGGCAAATAATACAAAAAACCAATAATTCACTCACTTCCAATTCCGCGTCTTATTGACATGTTATATATAATGATGTACTGGGCTACGATCTGACGCAGTCGCTCCTCAATCGCCGCCTACATGTGTTCAACATTGAAATAAAACTCAGACACACAGAACACGACACATGCTGCATCTTGTTCAATCTAGAAACACTCAAACAAAGCCAACCACCCGAGAACCCCTAACTCTGCCCAGCCTCCGCCCAAATCCCCATCCGGCCCGCGACGACCCGCGCCAGCTTCCCAAACGTCATCGTCCGCGCCAGCAATTGCTGAAATGGGATGTCCAGCGCAAATTCCTTGAACAGCCACGACCGCATCTCGGCGCCGACCATGCTGTCCAGTCCGTAACTGCCCAGCGACGGCCCGCCGTCCCCGTCGAGCTCGAAGTCGTCGACGGGAATCATCAGGATCCCCGACATGCGGCGCGCAATGTGCAGCGCGATGGCCGCGACGGCGGCTTCCGGACCGCCGGCAGCGCGCGCGGCGTCGAGGGTCGTGGTGAGACTGTCGGCGTTGGCATCGATCGTGGTGGAGACGGGGTTGCCGGACTCGAGCGCGGCGCGAACGTGGACGAGCCGCGCGTCGCGGTACCAGTACAAGTCCGCGTTGTCGGCGGCGATGGAGGTGATTACGCGTCGCAGCTCCTGTGTCTCCATGCCCATGACGAGCTGGGTGTCCATCGACGAGGCGAGCCCGTTGGACAATGATGACTCCATGTAAGCAGGAGCGGAAGGTACAAGCGCGGGCCGCGACTTGGCCATTGCGACCTCGAACCCGCGCAGCATCTCGTGCTCGCTGATGCCGTAGAGGCCCTTGCGCAGCAGCGAGAGCTCCAGGGCGTCGTCTTCGGCCACGACGCCGACGTCTAGGACCATGGGTAGTGCCAGCGACGTGGCGGCTAGGCCGTTGGTGGTGCGGTGCCGCGCAAGGGCATCGAGGAAGCTGTTCGCAGCGCTGTAGTTGCTCTGGCCCGTGTTTCCGAGGACGGCGGACACGGAGCTCGTCATGATGAAGAAGTCGAGGTCTAGGTTGCCCAGCGCCTTGTGCAGACTGAGCGCGCCCATGACCTTGGGCGTGATGACTGCCGTGAAGGAGGCGTGGTCCATTTGCTCGAACATGCCGTCCTATGGGCACCATGTTAGGCCCATTCTAACCATCCGAGGGACTTCGGAAGAGGGGCGGACGATTACCTTAAGCACCATCGCTGCGTGTACAACACCACGGATCGGGCGCTCCTCCAGCAGCGAGTTGACAATACCCTGCACAGCTTCCTCGTCCGCCGCATCAGCGCGGTGAACCGTGGCCGACGCCCCGTCGACCTGCTTGATATCGCCCACGATCCGCGCCGCCTCGGGCTTGTCAGCCCCTGAGCGCGAGATGAAGGCGAAATGCTTCGCGCCGCGCTCCATCATCCACTTTGTGAGGCTTCGGCCGAGGCCGCCTAGACAGCCAACGAGAAGATATGTCGCATTGGGAGAAAGAGACACCGTCGGACAGGAGGGGGAGATCTGTTGTGTCTGTTAGTTAGGGGATGTGAATACGAAGGAGATTGCCACTCCGACCTCTGCCTGATTCTCGTCGTCCTGGTGCCTCAGGGACACGCTCTGGTCTTGTCGCTCAGGGGTATCAGCTTGCTTCTCAGAGAGGGGCTCGCTACTAGTAGCCGGGTCGGAACCCCCTGCCCTGAGCAAGTCAGGATGCCTATTAATCAGAGCCAGAGACTCTCTCAGGACAACCGTGGCGGATGCCAGGCTCAATGCGTTCGTGTTTACAGGCATGAAACTGGCACCTCGCATAAACGGCTGACAGTCGAGAGCTTGTGGCATCGAAGGGCTGCTCGTCACCAAGAGAAACTTGCTGCCAGCTGGGATGTTGCTCCATATTGCCTGTGCTAGAGGCGTGAAGTCATGGGCGATGACAGAAAGCGACGACCCCTGCGCGATCCCGTCTAATGAGGCCAGCAGGGCTTCGCTGTCGCTTGACAGAAGGACCTTGGTCTTGTCGAGCGAGAATCGAGACGCATCATCTTGCTGCTGCCCGGCAGTTTCGGCAATGATAGAAAGTTCAAAACCCAGTGCGCGTGCAAGCGAGACGAGAATTGCCGTCGTGCGTTTCGAGGCACCGGCTAGGGATAAGACCTGGGAGCTTGCCCACGTTTTGCCGCTGAGCTGGTACGCGTGTACCAGAGGCTGGAGCCCGGCCAGTGCCGCAAGGAGAGTTTCAGGCGCTTCAAAAGCGGTCATGTCATTCACGACAGCGTATACAGATGTCCTAGCAACGGTTCCGGATCCCCGGGCAAAGGCGACTACACGTTTCCCGATAACCGAGTCGTCCACTGCAAGTCCTACCCGGACGATGCTTCCATAAACAAGTATGTGCGACCCTGAAATGGCTCGTGCCTCGGACGCATTGACTTGAACCTCGACTTCGTCTGCAGCTAGCCCACCATGTCGGGTCCCCATCTCGCCTGCAGCAGAGCCTGATGCGATCGGGGCACCTGCAGACAACAACTTTGGTGATCCATCAGACGACCGCTCCCACTCATTCCACATGCGATTGAGATCACCACGAGGGTAGAGCCGCGGCACATGAAGAACGCCGTGGTGCAGCCAAAACTCGGAGTCATGCCCCGAGCCTCTCGGCGCAGCTGAGGCGAGCTTTTCGACGACAGCACGCGCTATGTCCTCCGGCTTCTCGTCATGGCTGACATCGAGCAGAACCACCCGCGCCGATGCCTGCTCTGAGCGGATGACGCGGAGGAAGCCCTCCGCCATGCCCCCCTGAGGAGCGCGGCCTTCATTGACTCCCTGCGTGAGCCACAGCACTGGGACGCTCGCAGAGAGAACAGACTTGAGGCTGGCGAAGGTGCTTTCGTTTAAGGAAAGCAGGAATGTTCCTGCGGCGTCGTCGATCACGAAGAATGGGTCTGCTTCGGGAGAGAAGTCGTCCAGTGATCTCAGAGCGAGGCTCTTCCCGTATCCCGACAGGGTGTCTGCTAAGCTTCGATTATGGGGAGAAGCGGAGGATGACGATAAGATGGTGATGCTCTCGGTGTGCCCGCTCGTGCCATTCGTCAATACCGGCTCGGTGTTCACCAAGGCGAAGTGTTCGCCAAAGCCGATGGCTGATCCACTCAGTGATGAGAAGTCGTGCCGTGCGCCCACGAGCCATCCGCCGCCACTGACGAAGGGCATCAGCGTGCTGGAAGCTATTTTGGGGAACGAGCTCCCAAGATATAACAAGTTAACCACCAGGAGATCGTATACTCGATCAGTAAGGTCGCCCAGCAAGTCTTGCGGTGATAGCTCCAAGACGCTGGAAGCAACACGGTCGCTCTTGCTTCCAGAAAGACTACCTCGCCGGTCTTCAGTGAGGCCCAGTGTGACGGCACAGGTTCCGGGTAGCGTTCTCATTACAGAATCCACCACCTCCCAGTCCAATCCGCAGATCAGTGCGCTTTTGACTGGGTTCTGGTGAGATATGAGTTCGACGATGTGGGCCAGGCTGCCCAACTGCATCGGGGGATCGCTGCATGTGTCCGTCCGCAGCGCGGTGATGTCCGCCTTCCAGGTCGTCACGGAGAACGGCTCGGGATCAGCCAGATCTCTGGCTTGAGCAGGCAGAACGGCCTCATACGAGACGCATGTGAGGTCCTCGATGTCCATGAGGAGGTTGTCGCCGGGTCCTCTGAGGACCGTATGGGTATTGAAGCGCCGGTCCTCCAACTTGTCCGTCCACGCTATAGCATGGCCCGCGACGACATTTTCGCCCTCGGGAAAGAACATCGATACCTTGTCAATGTGAGTAGGAACAACACCCCACGGCATCTCCTTGTGCTTTCCGGCGTGGATGGAGATGATGATCAGTTGCAAACAGGCGTCGATGGTAGATGGATGGATCATATACCGGGACTCGCCCTGCATCACGCCGGATCGCTGTGTCACGATGACGCCTCCAGCGGCGTGGTGGAGCGATCGCTCCGTGCGTACGTCCTGGAGCCGCTGGAATGTGCTCGTGTAGTTGAAGCCGACCCTGTGGAAAGCCTTGTACCATCGCTTGCCGGTGGCACGTTGTGTAAGGGCAGTCTCGTCGACGGGATGGCTCCGGGATGTGATAGGCGCATGTGTTGCGGAGATTTTCCCTTCGCAATGCAGGGTCCACTGACCGCAGTCAAGGGACTCGACGGAATACGTATGCCACTACAAAACAGTTAGTACTTGGATTTCTCAGATTGACATCGAGGTTCCCAGCGCAAGTCGAAGTCTCAATTACCCGAATACTTCGAGTCTTGCTCTTCGAATGGGCGAGAGTGAGTTACGTACGTCCGAGCCATCGGCAGTATGCAAGCAGACCACAACCTCAATACCATCGCCATCCGGCACGACTAAAGCGGTCTTGATATCAACATCGCGATGAGTCACACCCTCGAAGGGTAGGCCCTCGATTTCATGCACCTGTCGAAGTGCCTCGATCGCAACAGACAGGTACCCAGCCGCGGGGAATACGGCAGCACCACCAAGCTAGGCCGGTATTAGCGAAAGCTGACAATAGGACTAACGAGAGGCATCGGACTTACGTTGTGATCTCTCAGCCATGGCACATCCCGGAGTCGAAGCACGTTCCGCCACACCTTGCAGCTATTCGAGAGCCCGGCCACCCGGCTGCCCAGTAGGTCATGACGCGGATATGCGCGGTTTCGCAGCTCGAGACTCGCCCGAGGCTCGGCCCAGTGCCGCTTTTCGTAGTTCCACTGGTAAGGCGGCAAGTCAACGAGAAGATAGGGGGTTCTGGGCTTGCGAGCCATATTATGTTCCTGCGCACTGTCGCTGTTGACTGCCGCCAAGTCGACAGGGTATCCAGCCAGGAAAAGCGAGCCCGCCACGGCGAGAAGCTGCCCCGTGTCGTCTTTTTCTCGTACGAGGGACGGTATGTAGGTCTTGTTCTCGAGACCGATCTGCTTGAAGGCGCGAGAGAGGGCAGAGTGGCACCCAACCTCGATGATGGAGGTGACCTGGTCGAACTCCTTGTCGGAGCCCATGCGTCTGACAGCTGTGTCGAAAAGCACGCGTTCTCGCAGGTTGGTGCTCCAATAATCGGGCGTGATAGAATCTCCCGTCAAGGCCTCCCCCGTGACGGATGATATCATCTGCGATCGAGGGTGGCGCCAGGCTAGGTCGTCATTCGTGAGCACCGCCAGACCCTGCGGCAACATGGCATCGTATGTGTCTCCTACTGTAGCCATGTAGGGTGAATGGTACGCACGTCCCGTACTCAACTCTTGTGCGAAGATGCATTTTGCTTTCAGTTGGCAAGCCAGCTTGGAGATAGCCTGAGCGTCGCCACTGAGAGTGACACTGCCTGGCGAGTTCTCACATGCAATGTACACGTTGTCAGTCTCTGGTGAGAATAGACGACTGACATCTTTCGCTCCAAGTCCAACGGCGAGCATGGACCCTGGGCCAGAGGTACACGCGGCACGGCCTCGGCAGAAAGCGATCACGATCGCTTCGGCTGCACTGATAAAACCAGCAGCGTACGCAGCCCCTATTTCTCCAGAACTGTGACCGATGCTGACAGACGGGACAATTCCCCACTGATGAAACAGGTCCACAAGAGCAATCTGGATGGCTGTACACAACGGCTGAGCTACCTCAGCATCGTTGACCCCGCAGGCATTTTTTTTGGACTGATCCATGAGCATCGAAGTCAAGCTGAACGTCGCTTTAGGGTCTAGCCTCTCTAGGATCTGATCCAATTTCGCGATGACATCCCTGAATGCTGGGAACTCCGCAAGGGCAACTCTGCCCATACCAGCCCATTGTGCCTACCATCGTTCGTCAGTCTAGGCTGCTCCACGTTATGAGAGGAAAGAACGTACGCCTTGACCGGTGAAAATGAAACCGATGCCACCTCTGCGTTTCGGTAGAACCCCCTTTATTAACGCATCCGAGGAGAAAGCTTCGGTTTTTAGGCCGGCACGTGCGATTGTGAAGGCTCTGTGAGAGAGCTTTGTCCGGTGTAGGTTCAGGGTGTGCGCCAGATCGGCCGTGTAATAATCTGCAGCAACAGCTCCAATCGCCTGGATATTTCGAGACAGCGTAGACTGACCGTGTGCGGAGAAACATAAGAGCAATGGTCTTTTAGACGAGTGATCATATCGGGCGTCGCTTTTGCGCTGGCCATGCTGATAGAAAGGGTATAGGGACTCTACCGACTCGACAATAACATGTCCGTTCGTGCCACCGTAGCCGAACGAGGACACGCTTGCTCTACGAAGTCCCGTATCCTGGGGCCACGGTGCTGTGTCTGCGTGGACCTTGACGTTCCAGTCCTGCTCCAAAACTGGAAAGTAGTCAGTAGCAGAACTTTCGTGAGTACACCATTATTGACTTCCTGGTCGCTTGGGGACTTACTCTCTGGATTGAGCCGCTTGAACAATGCAACGCCGGGGATCACAGCAGCCTCTGTCATCAAAGCCGCCTTCATAACGGCAAAGACTCCACTTGCAGCTTCACTGTGACCGATGTTTGGCTTGACCTAATTCGGGGCTCTTGTCAGGGGATTAGACCTAGGATATGAAGCGAGAGACACATACCGCGCCTATCAGCAGAGGCTTCTCCTTCGAGCGTTCGTCATTCAAGGCTCGAGAAATAGCCCTGACCTCGATTGGATCTCCCACGGGGGTTCCGGTGCCGTGTAATTCAGCATACGCCGTGAGCCGGGGATCAAGACCGGCCTTATCGTATGCCAAGCGTACGACACTCTCCTGACCTTTGCCGCTAGGGTGCGTGATGCCCATCCCATCGACTTTGCCGTTTCTGCCGAGAGCGACTGAGTGTAAGTTTCCATTCAAGTTTCAATCTTCCTCTCATCGGGGGCTATATCTTACGTGTTCACGGCCGTGGAACGGATTACTCCCCTGACAGGATCCCCATCTCTGATGGCGTCGGACAGACGCTTGACGTATAATGCGCCTGCTCCTTCGGCACGTCCATAGCCATCGGCTGACGCATCTAGTGTGTGACATGTCGATGTGGGAGACAGGATTCCTAGTTTGGCAGTATTCATGTGTTGGTCTACCGTCAGTATCAAGTTGACACCTCCAACGATGGCCGATTCGCAGTCCCGCGCACGAAGAGCGTGGCAGGCGTTGTGGAGTGCATAGATGGAGGAGGAGCAAGCTGTGTTTATAGTGAAACTAGGAAGTGTTTATTAGGCGTACATTCTAGCAGTGCGATCAACGTACCTGGGACCATTCAGATTAAAGATATTTCCAATACGATTGCTGATAATCCCGGGGTCAACTCCAGTGGCAGCGTAGTTATGCCGGAAGTCGGGCTCCCGGGTGGACATCTGTTCTACGTTCTGTTGGTCGGCCGTCTGGGATAGCTGGCACGGGCGACTTACGGTAGTCTGATGTGAAGGAGCCCACAAAGACAGCCGTATTGGAGCCAGCCACATCATCCAACGTCAGCCCTGCAGACTCTAGACATTCATAAGACACCTCGAGCATCCGTCGCTGTTGGGGATCAAGCCATTGTGCTTCAATAGGGGTCATGTTGAAGAGACCGGGGTCAAAGTCGTCTGGGCTCCCGTCCAAGAAGTACCCGCCGGCGACGTTGAAAGATCCGGGTCTGTCCCGGTCTTCGTGATAGTGTGCATCGATGTTGAACCGGGACGCCGGGACTCTGGGAGTCTGACCGGTCCGCTTCTCCACGAGCATCCTCCAGAATGAGGAAGCCGAATCTACACCGCCCGGTAGACGGCATGCTACTCGCACACAAGCACGAATTAGCCAATATACTGATGGTTATTACGGGGAAAGACTTACACATCCCGCAGATGGCAATGGGCTCGATGTTGGTCTGCATTGCACCAGCTAAGAGTCGGGGTAGTACTGCAAGTGTCTGATGAGGCCGCTTTGTTGGCCGGTGTGGGTTGCGCGGTCATGTCGATGTAGCTGTGTACCTGCTTATTAAATAAAGCCCCTGCATATGCCGAACGATGCATCACTGTTGGAAAGATCTGTTAAATAGGCTACTGGCAGAGACGCCAGAACTCCACTTTTGCCGGCGTTCAACAAGATCCAGTCCGTTGCACGAGAAGACAATCCCACTTGCCAAGCGGACTTCGGCTAGGAGTCCACCACTGTGCAGATTCGCATCGGCACCACTGCCATTGGTAAATGGCCAGGTTTCCAGGAATATGTTTAAGCGATGCTCATGACGCAGTGCGAATCCGCCACGGCGACTTCGGAGTGCCTCTTTCCCTAGGCTACCTTGGAGTGCGGCTTCTAATGGGTTCTACTGGCTATCAAGGTCACATTGCCGATGGGGCCAGCTTCACCGTTATCTGGAGGCATATCATCTAATGATCGAAGGGATCTTTCGGGGAAACTTCTCCTCTTCAAGGATAGCTCCTAACCTTAGGCGTGGTGTCCGATTGGATATTGCTAGACTCTCCGCTCGCAGACGCTGGGTTGAGATTCATGTCGTGATGACATATACTGCTAGAGGGTCCTATGCACTCTGATGTGTACATGTCTGCCTGAAAGAGGACTCCCAAGGTTCGGCAGCCGAGACCTCCCCACTGCCTGGCTAACCCTGAAAACTAGGTGCATAGGTGGCGGATTGCCGGGATACATCTACGGAATCTCAGAGTACCGTTCCCCAACTTGTTGGAGCCAGAACTCAGGAGGTGGGGGCCATGCGATTATGGTGTGTACACCTCGGGAACCAGCGATTGTATAACAGGAAGTCAGATCCGCCGTCGACCACAGTCCTGACTTAAAGGTAAGTTGCAGAGCATTCGAAATGGGAGTCAACACGATCGTCTTTTGCTACCGCGCTCAGGCTGTTCTTGCCGTCTTTCTGTTATGGGGTATATTTCTCCTCAACGGCACGCTTAAAGCACTCCTGCTAGCTGCGTGGCACGGCAAGTTAAGCGACGATGTGCCCCTGAAGAATGACTACACAGGGGTCTTCGTCGTCGATTACCTTCTTGCTCTTCTTGTTGCTTTCTTCTACTACGCCACGAACGGCTCCGACGAAGGGTATCAGCTCCTGGTATTCGAGGGCTATTCCACCTTGCAGTCTGCCTTCGTTTGGCTGTACGTGGAGATGGCCCGACCCGGCCAAAAGCCAGGGTCCATTGAACGGTTAGACCTATGGCTGCTTGTCGCTCGCTTGTGCTGATCTGACCCCAGACCACTTATCTTCGGGATACTATGGCAGTGCGCCGGCGCCGGCATAGCACTACCGCTCTACTATGCCCATCATATCCTTTGGATCGACAGCAGCGACATCTTGCGGGTCCGCAACGTCGATGCCGCCCGGGCATTACCGTTCAGTTTTCTGCTAGGGGCAATCTTTCCGGCTGTCTTGGGCAGTGCGCCGACGTGGAACGGGCCTGATTCCCGCACACCCGAAGTCCACCAAAAACTCCTCGCTGCCTGGCAGCCGGATCCTATCTGGGTCTCATTGATCCAGTATGTTTTAACAAAAAGCTCTGCAGGATTGCGCAGCCGAGGCGAAGTCCACCCTAATGCTCAGTTGTGGATTCGGACGGCATACTTGGTGTCGGCTGCATCTTCCGCACTCGGCCATATCTATACCATGGGAAGGATTTTCCTTAGTACCGACGAGGGAACGAACTTGGTACGTATGTGCTTACCATTCCCGTTCACTGGTCCTTCCGGGGTCCCCGATATCCTGGCACGCGGGCCCTGGCTATATCTGCAATACGACATTCTCAGCTTCGACGCCGCCAGCCTATCGTGGGCGTTCATTTTGTTGACGAGGATGCCCAACGGTCCGCGGATCTCGAAACTTGCTCTAGCAGTTCTGTTGCTGGCTGGCTTTGTTACGATTGGCTCGGGCGCTACTGTATCCCTGGCTCTGTATGTCCGGGAAGGTATGCTGCCCGAGAAGGCGAAAGATGAGCGGTAGACGAGGGGTCACCGCCACGGCACGCGTTGTCGACGGGAGAGAATAGGCTAGAAAGGGGCAAAGGCTCTTACAAATCTGCTACTATGCTCGAGGCAATGAATTTATCCGGGAGAAGTCCCATATGCCAAGAACTCCACTTTGGGCACAATGCAACGCTGGCTATCCCCGTGCCTCACCACTGCTGCTCGTCTGCCAGAGCCATGATCCATACCTCCACTCACGCGAGAAGCCACGTCAACCTTGCCGCAGCCCTTTGTTACGTATTGCCGGCATTGTTATGCCACTAGGGAAAGTCATGATGATGGTACCGAGGTCCCATGTTGATCCTCCTGCCCATAAAGTGCTCGCCTCGCTCTGAGTCTCTGACATACGGACTGGGCATTGGTGCATGCACGTGTATGCAGGACCATGCCGGGGCTCCAGCCTCCAGGGATCAAAGACGGAACCGGTCAACGAATATAGATCCCAGTCAAGTTCCTCGACTCAGACCCACCGCTTCTCTACCGTGACGCGCGACTGGACAAAGATATTGTGCTCGTATAGCCATTATAGGAAGGTCCGACGAACATGCTCGTACGCATAATGTAGGTCCATCAGCGGTGTGACTTTGCTTGGAACTTTTTCATACCCCTGGAGCCCGCCGACTTGGTCCTACGACTGTTGCTGTCCCTTTAACCTAGGATAGCCAGAGCCTCGGGTCATCGCCGTTGCTGAAGATTCCCTGGATATGATGCACCACCCCTGACGATGGCCTCTCCAGCGTCGCACACAGTCGAGGTAGTCATCATCGGCGCAGGTGAGCCTACCACTCCCTTAGAAGATGCCTCTCATCGCCATTAACTTCATACACAGGCTGGTATGGGCTTGTCGCCGCCCGGACTTATATTCGCCTGCGGCCATCTACGAATCTGCTCATCGTTGACTCCGACAGCACGGTTGGAGGAGTATGGAGCAAAGACCGGTTGTATCCGAACCTGGTAGCCCAAGTTCGACTAGGCGTGAGTGAGAGACTCTCATTCTCATACACGAGCTGTGATAATTAATATGTCTAGCTCTTCAATTACTCGGATACTCAAATGCAACCGAAAGATGGCAACCCCAAAGACCCCATGGTAACCGGTGATATGATACACAACTACCTGCACAAGTACGCTCAAGACCATGACCTATTGCGACGTATAAGATTCAACACGACTGTCTTGAACGCCCAGCAGCACTCAGGGGGCTGGCGCTTGTCCCTTGTGGACTCCGAGGTAATCGAGACGGAGAAGCTCCTGGTGGCCACGGGTGTCACATCTATCCCACACACCCCCGATCTAGACACGACGACGAGCTCCCCACCGATAGTGCACTCGCGCGATCTGGGTGCGTGTTACGAAGCCATCACAGACGACTCCGTGAGGGAAGTCGTCGTCGTCGGCGCGGCCAAGTCAGCATACGACGCTGTATACCTGCTCCTGAAGAGGGGCAAGAAAGTAAGCTGGGCGATACGTCGTGAGGGCGGTGGACCGCTTTGCGTCCTGCCGTTTCGTGTCCTGAACGTGCTGAACTCGATTGCTTTCGCATCAACGAGACTGATGACGCACCTGAGCCCCTGTATATTAAACACACATGGGCCGGCCTATAGGCTGCTGCAGAAGACTCGCCTGGGCCGGTGGTGTGTCGGCAAATTCTGGGATTTCCTCGACTATACGAGTAGTGTGCACGCGGGCTACGGAGACGGGGATCAGGTGGCTATGCTGAAACCCGAGATCGATCGGCAAAGGTAAAATTCCAAGACTCCGAGTAGCCATGTTGACGATGCTAAAGATGAACTCAGTGTATTCTGGGCGCATTCGGGCTTGGGTGTGGTCACTCTGCCTGACTTCTGGTCGGTGTTGCATAGTCCGAACTTGACTGTCCACCGAGACGTAGTCGATAGCATCAAAGGGCAACACGTGAAGTTTGGGTCTGGTAAAAGCGTCCAAGCTGACTACATGGTTATGTGCACTGGCTGGGGAGACCATTTCTCCTTCTTCGACGCCGAGCACAAGGCCATGTTGGGGCTGCCTGCTTACGACACGGAACCATGCTCTCCGTCAACCCCGGATGGAGTGGACTGGGAAGCCTACTATCAGATCGCCGATAAGGTTGTTGACGAGAAGCTACCATTCCTTGCGTCGCAGCCGAAGCTGAAGTACACTAAAGCACTCAACCCACATCTTCAGGTCAGTGCCATTTGATTGACGGAAGTTGTATAATGGATAGGTATGACCCGTACCACGTTGGCTAATTCCTAACCCTTGACATAGAAGAGGTGGAACCTCTATCGTCGTGTTATCCCGCTTTCCATGGCCGAGAAGGGCGACAGATCCATCGCGATTCTCGGACAAATCCATACCGTTCAGACACCACTAGTCTCCGAAGTACAGTCCTTGTGGGCTATCTTGTATCTTCTAGGCGAGATCAACTTACCCGACGTGAACAGTATGGCCAAAGAGGTGTCCCTGTGGAATACGTGGACTCGTAAGAGATATCTCAATCAGGGACAAAAACATACGTATTCTCTTTATGACTTTCTTCCGGTAAGTTTTGGAACATAGTCTTACCTTCGTTGCAATCACCCCATTGACTAATCGTAACCCAGTATATCGATAGTATCTTTGCGGATTTGAAGCTCAACAGCAGCCGCAAGTCGAACCCTCTATCAGAAATGTTCAGTCCGTACCATCCGCATGACTTCAATGGCTTTGTGGACGAGTACCTATCAATGAGACAGGCATGCAAGGAGGTGTCGACTTGATTGCAAACGGCGAATAGCTATGATAATGATGATGATACGAGACTCTGGATATACCGACCACACGTATTATACGTGCAATATGTAACTCATCAGGCAATATACTTCAAATCCCTCTCAAAGGACAGTGGTGACACCCGCCAACACGCTGCGGACCCATTCAAGGTGCAACCCTGAAGAGTGAATCATTGTTCAACGCTTTTCCCGTAGCTAGACAGTCAACACAAGGCGAAACGCCTTCGAGAGCTCTAGTGGTGAACATGACGAGAACTCCCTGATATTATCAAGGGGATCTGTTACGTACCATTATAAATATCCCTACATGAACTCATCTCCTATTGATGCCCGGTGATTCTCCTACTTCACATCCATACCTAACCAGCTCGCCTCGTACCATTCCATCTCATCCTACATTATCCCGTCCCAATATCAAACTAGACTGGCCCTCACTGTGGCGGCGCCATCTTAACCACACACTCCCCAACGTCGTCACATCGCCTGCACCATCAACTTGTGGATCGCCTGACCCGAGTGGCCGAAGTCGTACCAAATGCACGACTTGCCATCCATGTTCTGGCAGCTAGCATCGTTCGCGCCGTGGCCCGTACTTGGTCGCGTTGTTGATAACCTCGTCGAAGGCTGCCTGCGTGTCGACTCGGCATGAGCCAATCCCCCGAGGAGCCATGCCCAGGAATGAGTGGATATGTCAGAGTATGGCATAAGGATAATCAGGGTTAACCAGCAAGTCAAGACCAGAGGGGTGTAAGAATCGCCACTTGAACGTATCAGCCAATGCTGATGACCATTTTGAGTTCTTATGACTTACAAGACGAATAAGTATTTAGGGGCATCTACACGTGGCGTGGGAGCTGCGCCCACCAGGGCTGCCAAAGCCAACAAGGCCAAGAACGAGAGGGTAGCCATGCTCGATTCGGGCCCAATTGACTGACTTCTATGCTTTACGGACATGTCATATGGTCAAACCTACCTCCCGTCATGTCATTTCTATAAACATCGCGGCACGTGGGGCTCGGGAGGGGTCTATATGTGTTCCTGGCGATCTTATACCCCAACGTCCGGACTGGCGAATGGCACCCCTTATCTTAGGCCAGAGGTTGTCAACACGCCATGCAGTAGGGTGTCGAGTTTTTATTACCGAGAGACAGTTGTCTGCAATGTTTGAGTGGCCCATTATTGGCCAATCGTGTCGATCAAGGAAGGGGGCTCAAGGGATCTTGTCTGGACGTCCGGGCACAGCGCTTAGATCTGGGCCCTGTGCCTCACACGATGATCTGTAGAAGGCCCCCAGCACTTGATGAAGCAGTTGTATCGCGATGTAGGTGCCCTTCAACCCATTGTAGAGTGGGGACTTCACGTGGCTGAAGCTTAGTAACCGGTCTGCCGGTAGAAGAACGTACATCATCAAAGGTCTCGAGTATACACAGGTTGGCTCGCTTCTGCACGGCAGACAAAACATGATGGCGTTAATATACGAGCCACGCGTGTTGCGCGTCCAGTCTCGAACGTGGGGTTCTGCCACGGCCTGGCCGGTGAGAACGACCGTAGCGTGCCAGGGTACCGCACCTTATGTCTTCATGGTTGAGATATAGTAGTATCAGGTAGGTTGATGTGTGGAAGGAATGCCAGCTGCGGCTGAGGTCAATAGTGACAGCACAAGAGGACTGTCGTGGTTGACGGCCAGACGGTCATAACCTCAAGCGTCGCCTCAGAAAGTGTTCACACGAGTAGTGAGCCAACCATCATATCTACCCAGGTTATTCGCAGCTCGGCTACGCCATAGTTAACGAGCAGCTGCTTTATCTCTTGCTTCCTCCCACGTTTCTCGGAATTCGTCTGCAGCTGTTCAAGCGGCGCAAAATTAACCATCCTACCCCTGGGATAAGTAATGTCAGCCCTCATTCAACGCGGGGGTTTTACATAAAGGACTTGTGTCTCTCATCGTGTCTCAAGCTGTGGTCATGCCGCATCCCGGCACCAAGACAAGACGGGCTAGCTATCAGCTCCAAGACAGCAACAAGTCGACCACAGGCAGACAGTCGACGAGAATACGGGTGAAATCATCGACTGTCCTCCGTGCGACGCCATTTCGGACACAAGACATGCATAGGTAACGTCGATGTGAGAAGCTTAAAGCCACCACTCGTACCACGGGACGAGCTGTGGCCGGCTATGGCCACCATATGAAGCAACGCCCCCGATAACCCCGCAAGGGCAGGTCCGGAATTATGTCCAACGGTCGTCGGTTAAGCAGAGGCCGAGCTATACTACCTTATTACTGAGGTGGGCGGGCATTTGCCCCTTTTCGGGTTGGCTCTGTCAACCATCGGTCAGATGGCTGTACTGCCTAGCCAGCCCCCCTCATCCCCCACTTCCCAGTCCGTCAGGGCCAGACGAGCTTTGTATAAGTACTAGAGGATGCTCGGGCTTCGCGTGTTATTGTCGGGCGGTCTTCAGGTAGGCGCAGCAGGTTGTATTACTCATTTCTAGATCTTGCCTCTTTCCATGCTGTTCCCAAAGGAACACTACTTAATAGACACATAGGAATCTGACTACCTAAATATGGTGATCATGTGACCGCCCATACCCTACCTCCCAAACTCAAGCAAAACCCGTGCTGATGACCCAGCTCACGTCGTCATTGAAAGAAGTAGCAGCATCGAAAACCTGGTACCCGCCATTCGTCGCAGCATAGCCCACGTCCGAGAAGTGTCTTATGTACCTCGTAGGGTAGCCCCAAGCCCGGATCGAGCTGCCCTGCCCGCTGATCCCCGCCTGCGGGCAGAAGGTCGCGTCCTCGTGCATCTGCTTGGTCCCGTCGTCGGCGGCGACCTGCAGCACAAAATTATAGTGGCGCAAGTAACTACCGGCCGTATCAACCGATTCGAACGAGACGCACGCGCTGTTGCCCAGCCCCGCGCGCACCGTCCAGCTGGCCTGCTGCTTGAGCGCTGTTGTGCTGGAAGATGATACTACTTGAGTGTTGACCGTAGCGTCCGTGTGCGCCAGGTAGCGCGTCGTGTAGCCCGCCGTTGTAGCGCGCAGCGAGATCGACGACCCGACCGTGAGCGCCGTCCCGCTCGTCAGTGACGCCGCAACGTACTTAGCCGCCACGATGTTAGCCTGCACCGAATTCTCGGTCGCGTCGGACGGGTAGCCCGTCGTCATGACGCCCTCGTAGAACGTGCCCTGCGCGCTGATGCTGTTATCGCCGCCGATGCCCAGGATGATAGCGCCCTCCTTGCTCATCGGGTTGTACCCCGACGCGTCGGGCCGGGCGCCGCTGTAGTAGGTCGACAGCGAGCCGGACGCCGCGTTGGCGCCGCGCAGCGCCCATTGATTTGGTCCCCCCTTAACTATCGCCGTGAGGAAGCGGTAGGAGATCGAGGGGTCGCCGGCGTTTTCTTTAACCGCCACGCCGGAGAACAGCCCGTTCTCCAGATCGGCCATGAGCCAGGGACCGCTACCCGAGCCGTAGCCCCAAGAAGTACTGTCGCCAAAATAGATAGCCTCCATATGACCATTACCCGTATCCTTACTACTAACTTCGGCATTGCCGTAATCGAAGCAGCAGCCGCCGTTATAGTGCGTGCCGTCGAGCACGGCGTACATGCCCTCGGCCTCGTCGCTGACAGCTGTGCCAGACGCCGCGTTGTTCCGGTAGCCGGTGCCGGGTGAGATGAAGACGCCGTACGCCTTCTGCCCGTTCAGCGTGACAGGCGCGCCGGTCGCGGACGCGAGATTGTCGTACCCATTGGGTTCCGGGCCAGCGAAGCCACCGGGCGGAGCTTGGGTCAGGTGATTGTTATTGCCGGACTGGTCGTAGATGATAGAGATGAGACAGGTCGTGCCTGCGCAAAAGGTGTCTTGCGCGGCCGCGTTAGCGACACCGCCAGCGGCGAGGGGCGCGATGTTGGTCGTAGTGTTGTCAGACCCGCGCTTCACCTGGTAGAGCGAACCGCTGAAGGCGCTGTACAGGGCTCTCGTCGTGCTGTGGGCAGCCACACACGGAGTGCCTCCTGATGAGTAGATGTCACAAGGCCCGGCTGCGACGAGAGAGCCCGTAGCAGCAAGCCCGAGAGCGAGTACGCCATTGCGTGCGAAGCTTGATCGTGAGAACATGACTGGTCACTTTTGTCAAGGAGAACAAACGCTGGAGTTGAGGTGAGCACGTCTGTGAGCCTCTTCCCCCCGCTCCCACGTTCTCGTGGCATCGTGTGTTTATTTATAGCTGTACTCAGGCCGGTGATACTCCTGAACGCGCCGACGAGAACTAGCGACGCGCACCGAGACACGACAGCTAAGCTGGCCAGAAGTCGTATTCTTTGTGTCACGAGGACCTCAACCCTGTTCTTGCAACGGTGGAGGCCCGGTGGGCATGTTCCGTGACCGAATAGGGGAATGGGTGGGACTACGGTGAAGCTAGCACCGCCCAATGAAGCAGGTCGCAGTAGGTCGTTGGAGTGCAACTTTCCACCACTCTTTGCTTGCGATGTATGGATACCAAGGCTAGTCTGGGAAAGAAACGTCTTGAAAGATCGAGCAAGGCTGACCACACGACTATTGCAAGGTTGTTAAGTGAGACCTTACTGGAGGAGCTTAACACGCCCGAGAACCACTGTCTTCCGAGGCGCTCCAACCACACGTGTTCTCTCTGCTTGGGCATTCATTGACAGCTTACCTAACCGCAGTCCTATTAGAGACGATGATGTCGAGTCCCTGATAACATCCGAGTGGTCCCCGTATAGCCAGACAACGAGGAGCAGCACATGCTACTTGGAAAGGCCGCGTCCATATCGTCCTCTCATCAGCATGATATATTCACTGGCGGAATAGACTATGCTCTCTAAGAGAGGACGCATTGCTGAGACCCAAATACCGGTACCAAGCGTGCAACAGCTCTGTCACCTCAGGTCAGACCAGCCAGGGCTACCCGACTTAATACGAGGCAGAAACGGCCCAGGAGGATACCGCCTGCTTGGCACGCCGTGTCTTGTCAGAAGCCATCCTAAACCAAAGACGCAAACGTCGCATACCCAGGATGCCTCAAGCGCCGCCAGCAGTACCGTTCGAACCAGATGGCCACGATAGGCTGTCATTGCATGCCAGATTAGTCAGTGGTGGCGCATGTGCCCGCTGTGAAGTATATCCTACTACTCCTCGGGACTGTACTGCACGCACGAAGAGAGAACGTGAATTCGAACCAAGCCCAGGTAGTCACGTTGCCCAACAGATGTTTATCCCTTGCCCACCGATCGGGGAGTGATGCGGCGTAACGATATTCGACTGAATCCATATTCAAGAGAATTAGACGAGCTGGCCTCCTGAAGGCACCGTTCTCGTCCTGCGGCACTAAGTCTCGTGCGTACTGGGCCCAACAAGACCCTGGAGGGCCAGTACAAGGTGCGCCAATATGAAGGGATTCTATCCACTCAGGGGAAGACTGCATCCTTTGCGAGCATGAAGGAGTAATGTGAGGATACTCGCGTGCTGCTAAGTTACCCACTGGGTTTGATTGGTTGTACGAGGTTTGTGCCCGTTTGAAAGACGCCGTCTTCTCAAGAAGGAAGGCATCGGTCGTGACTACTCGATAGTAATGTCCGTAGACGATAGGTCACATCTGCTTGTCAGAGATTTTGTTCAGCTCACTCTAAGCAGTGATCCACTGCTGATCAAAAGACACGACAGTGACGAGCAATGTGGCGTTATGGTCCAACTGCACGAGCACCCATTACGGACGAGATGTCGAGCATCACGACTCACCATGTTATGCCGAAGAGATAGCCCTCACTATCACATGCGTGATGAATCATTTCGATTTGCAATGTCGTCGCCGTCAGCCACCCGTCGCACAACCCAATTGGCCTCAGATAATGCACGAATCCGGGAGCCTATGAGATGGAGCCAGGACAGCAAGAATGCGGGCCCGCATCTGCACCGACAAGGCCTGGAAGCACAGAAAACGTACAGGCCGGCGTTCGGAGGCATTTGGCGGCAACGGGCATTGGCACATCCGATCTCTCCAGTCTCCGCGGTGTAAGCTTCTTTGCGGAGTTCTAGATGTCGTCCCCGGAGCTCCACCCAAGCAGCATAGGCCAGTCACAAATGGGTGTCTCTCTTGTCCGCATACCTGTCGAGAGGCACGTCGGCTGCTCATTGGAAAGATCTTGGTCTTATCGACAGCGACGAATACCTGCGAATATGCCATGAGCCTCCGAGTTGGCCACTGATGTCGCTCGAGAGTCGCCTGGTTTGTCTCGGATGACCGACCGTCTTCGTGATGCAGTCTTGGCTTATCTGAAATCCGTCATCACGACACACTGGGTCGCCTTCGCTGTAAATGGTCCAGGGTGGGTTCCGGCGTCTGGGAGGGAGGAATGTGAGCCATGGGTGGCAGTCCGGTTTTCCCTGCTGCCGTTATTCCTCAGTAGAACACTGCACTCGCCATCGCGGTTTTTGGCGAAGCTAGTTTACCAACATTCGTACCAGCAACACTCTACTTCCAGAACGGAACAGCTAAGTATTCTTGACGAGTTGGGGCTTTGCGTGGTTACTACGAAACCATACCAACACCGGCAACCCACGGCTCGCCAGGTCTACGGCCCAAATGGCAGAGGTATTCTCTTCGTCGAGTTCCACGCCAGCATCGCGTTCGTCGAGTCCGCCCAACGAATCGAGTTGGTTGGTACCGAAGCCACAGATCGACCAGACCGACCAGGCTCGAGAGAGTGGTCCACGATATCGGCAATGGCTCTCCGAGATCTGGCTCCTGACCAAGGCCGCCATACCTGTGATATTGGCATACACTCTTCAGAATAGCCTGCAGACCATATCGGTATTGATCGTAGGGCGCCTATCACCAGAGGCATTGGCAACGGCGGCATTCTCATACATGTTTGCCATGGCCACGGGATGGCTTGTTGCACTGGGCGGGACCACAGCACTTGACACGCTCGCATCGACCAGCTTTACCGGGTCGCAGGACAAACACGATCTGGGTGTTCTGTTGCAACGTGGCATCGTGGTCTTGACCGTCTTCTATGCTGTTATTGCTGTCGTCTGGGGGTTTTCCGAACCTCTTTTCCGAGCGCTAGGACAGGAAGACTTCATATGTGTGCAAAGCTCCAGATTCCTCTGCATCTTGATCCCGGGAGGTCTGGGATATGTGTGGTTCGAATGCATGAAGAAGTACTTGCAGGCGCAGGAGATTTACCGACCGGGCACGTACGTCCTGCTCATCACGTCGCCACTCAACGCTCTTCTGAACTGGTTGCTCATCCACAAGGTTGGGATTGGCTTGTATGGGGCGCCCATTGCCACAGGCATTTCCTACTGGGTTTCCTTCCTCCTTCTCGTGGCCTACGCAAAATTCGTCCGTGGTCATGAGTGCTGGGGAGGCCTCGCCCCTCGTCGTGCCGTGGCGCACCTCTGGCCTTTCACTCGGCTCGCGCTGCTCGGCTTCGTCCATGTTGGCACAGAATGGTGGGCGTTTGAGATTGTGGCTCTAGCCGCTGGTCGACTTGGCACGATTCCTCTCGCGGCGCAATCGGTCATCATGACGGCAGATCAAATCATCAATACTATCCCCTTTGGACTGGGTGTGGCTGCTTCAGCTCGCATAGGGAACCTTCTTGGGGCGCAGAAGCCGCGAGAAGCAGCGCGCGCGGCCCACTGCGCGGCTGTTCTGTCTGCTGTTCTTGGGGCCGTCGTTTTGACGATTCTGATCAGCACAAAAGACGTGTTTGGGCGCATCTTCAACGATGACGAGCGCGTTGTCCGGCTGGTGGGCGAGGTGATACCGTTTGTGGCACTGTTCCAGATAGCAGACGGCCTCAACGGTAGCTGTGGTGGAGTGTTGAGAGGCATGGGAAGACAGTGGGTAGGCGCGCTGGTGAACCTCGTGAGCTACTACGGCGGAGCGCTGCCGATGGGGATTTACCTTGCGTTCCATGGCTGGGGATTAAAGGGGCTGTGGTTTGGCAACTGTGTGGCTCTATACCTAGTAGGGATTTTGGAGTGGATTATTGTTGGTCTAAGCAGATGGGATAAAGAGACGAAGAGGGCTCTGGATAGACTGCATGCCGGTGGTATGGGCGGACCAGATGATGTTGGCGTGGGGGAGATCTCAGCTCGAGGTCAAGTGTAGAACAACGACTTGACGAGGCAAGCCCCTAGACATACATGACCAGATGATCTGGGTAGATTCTGAGTAGAGGAGCTCCTTGGTGGGGCAACATTATGAGACGAGGCATTGAGAACTTGACTTGACTTGCACCAGATTGAGGTTGCAGAAATGGGTGCAGCACGGCCTTTGAATGGCTGTCGTGCGATGGACAGTGGTTTCAAGGTTGTCTCAGCTCGAGGCAGCGCTTGCCGGCAGTCTGTGCGATTGCGTTGCTGGGCAGCTGGGGCCGGGCTTGCAGGGCTTCTTGACAGTTGGGAGCTCGACAACCCAATCAATCTGTAGATGCACTCTTATTACGTACGCACAGCTGCGGCAGGGAAGGAGCTTGCGGGTGCTGCCTTAGTGGCCAGTCAACCAAGATATATTGTGGGTGCAGTAGCTCCCGCCAAACACCCAGACACCGCAGCTGTCGGGCCCGTCCCAGTGCACGACTGCTTCGGAAGTTTGTTGTTTACACGATCGAAATGCATTCTTCAAATTAAAGGCGGCATTGATTGATTGTTAACAACATGAAGTATAGTTCGGGCAAGAGATGGAAGGAACGTTGCGGAAATGAATTGGATGGCATTGCCGGGCCAGCACGTCATCCCTGAAGCTGTGAATAGAGGGAAGCTAAAACAGGCCAGTGAGGTCATAATTGTGTCCCTAGAATGATGGGCCCGCGACTGCCGATCACCAGGCCATCACCAGACCATCCCCAGCGCCAGCGCCATCGACCGACCTTGATGAATCTTCGAAGCCTGCAGGCATCATTGATCATCGACAGGATTTGAAAAAACCATTTTCCGCACCTTTCCTCATCTCCACCCTCAACTGCATCATAGACCTTATTCCTCTCTGTCACATCTCCATTTCTCATCACTGATCAGACGCGGACAATAAAGACCTTGAGGGCGCCCATCTGAGACTGAGACCCCCCAGTCCCCCAGTCCCCCAGTCCCCCACACATTCCAGACTCCAATCTCGAGTCCGATCGATAAACACCATCACTGACAAGGCATCAACAACGACCACATACATCCACTCCTAGTTATCTACGAACTACCATTACTCAGCTCGTGCACGATCCCCACGTCGATCGACTCGCGCACCAGCTTGGCCCTCGACAGCCTCGACAGGTCTAGCCGATACCTTTCCCGACGGACGCTTCAACAACATGCAGAACATCATCCATTCGGCCCTGCGCCTCCTGCAGTTCCTGTTGGTGCTGCTGACCACTGCCCTCATCGGCAATGTCATCGCCACCAACTGGGGTGCCGCCGGCTCCGCCAAAGCCGCTGTCAACTTCATCATGTTTGTGTGCGCCTTGAGCTGGATTGCCGTCTTGTACGGCCTGATCTCGCATTTCGTCTCCGCCGCCGCCATGCCCATTGTCGCACTGGCGCTGGACGCTGCAGCCACTTTGTTCACCTTCATTGGCGCCGTCGTGCTGTCTGCGAAACTCACTGCCGTCAACTGTGGCAGCAACTTCGTAAGTCCCCCATATGGTGCGCCTGAAGCTTTTCGTGCTCGCCTCGTCTAACCCTGCTCCCAACTTTGCAGCACAACAAGCCCAGCGATTGGGTTGCCTTCGGCGGGAACGACACCGAGAAGCACTGTCGCGAAATCCAGGCCAGCGTCGTCTTCCTGTGGTTCCTGTTCGCCGCATTCGCCGCTAGTCTCTTCTTCGCCTTCAAGGCCTTCCGAGGACGTGGCGGATCCATGGGTCGTCCTAGCATGTCCCAGGTCGGCGTCTAGGGGAACGAAGATACCGCGGACCACGACGAGTCAGGCGACCAACGCAACTGGAATATCCTATGAGCGACGAGACGTATCACGATCCATTCGATGAACACCGGGCACACGTTGGATGGATGGATGGATGGATGGATGGGTCTTGGCGTATATGGGCTTGGCGTTCGATCGGCTTGTACCAAACACCGGGGATAAGGGTGTACTAAAAGTAATATTGTTGGCCTCCACCATCAGCTCGATCTGCCACCAGTGGCAGTATCGCGTCGACTGGGCGGGCAAACGGTTATTATGCTTCGACTATTAACGTCTTGGGTTTTTGACCGGAACACGATACCATTGGATGGAAAACATACGCTTCGAGCAGTCTGTAGACCTGTCTGTTTGAATGAACCATGTATGTGGATAATACAATGAGGTACTCAAGGGTGTCACCAACATGTCTCCCCAACTACCTAGAGCATCAGCAAGGTTTGTGCAACTGGTTTGACTTTGTGCCAGTTAATTTATTGAATTGTGTTGCGACGCTTGACCACAACATTATATCAGTTCCTCACACTGTTCCAACACCACAGCACAACCTCTCTAGCGAACCGTACTAGCAAGCTCTTCTCAGCACTGGGTAGAGAGAGCACATACGAAATCCTGATCGCCTCCTCAACGCGTATGGCATCAAGTACGAACCTCGCCCGCGCTACGCCCGCCAGGCATAGGCCAAGCCACCGTAATGGACGCTGATTCCGCGTCGGGAGTGGAAGCGAGAGGGACAACGTCACGTTACCGTGCATATTGTCAGATTTGAGCCAATCGTCAGAGTGAAGTGTGTGTGTGTATTCTGTCTGTTTAGAGTGTCCTTGTGCGACCGTGGCAGTTTTGTGCCAGATGGGGCTAGATCGGGATGGAACAACTAGGTTCCGTTGTCTACCTGTCAAGGTGCCTTCTAGGCGAACCTTTAATCCAACATTAACGTGGATTAAGTTAGTCGGAACCATAAGACTTTAAAGCGCGGAGAAGGTATTTTAAAGTAATAATAATAAGGCTTTTGATAAGTTAATAGTTATTCTGTTAAGAATAAAGATATATTAATTCGGATTGAATAGATTGTTTTAAAACATTAAGTTTTTCAACGTGAACATTAATTGTATATTTCAAATTTATCTCAAAATAAGAAATAAATTTGTAATAAATATACTTTTTATTTTAGAAATAGTTTTCAAGTTTTCGAAATTTTTATAAGAAAAGTTTTAAAGCTTAAAACTTTTATTATAAGCCTTGAAAAAAAAAAAAAAAAAAACCCTGCGGTTTTTTTCTTTTCAAAATCTTTTAGAAATTTAATATTAAGATTTAAACGGTAAAAAATTTTTTTTTTTGGGATTTTAAGCAGCTGCTTTGCCCATTAAATTATTTCATAGTTTTAAGTATTTTTAATGTTTAAATATATATTTTATTGAAACAAAAATGCTTTAAATATAAGCTTTATTAATATTAAGCTATGATTATTGATTTATTTATAATATTAGTTTTATTTTCAATCTATTTTGTAATATATAAAATCTTTAAAATAAATACGTATTTATATAATATAACTGATTAATTTAAAAGAATATACATATATAAATGGATTATTATAATATAATTAATAAATAAGATTGTATATTAAAGCTTAAATAAATCATTATAACCATTTTTAATATACCCTTTTATGCCGTAAAGAAATAAAAAGCGAACTGTATTTTAGAGCGTAAAAAGGGTATTTTAAGGTAATAATAATAAGGCTATCAATAAGTTAATAGTTATTGAATTAAGAATAATAATATATTAAATCTCGATTAAATAAGCCGGTTTGAATTATTAAACTTTTTAAATACAAATATTAAATTTATGTTTTAAATTTATTTAAACGAGAAAATGAAATTAAAATGAATATACATTTTATTTTTGAATCAATTTTAAGCTTTCGAAATTTTTCTAACAGAGGTTTCAAAGCTTGAAATCTTTGTTATGAGGCCTTTTCAAAAAAATAAAAAAAAATCTAACTTTCGCTTTTTAAATTTTTGGAAAAAAAACGATACCAAAGTTTAAACGGAAAAAAAAAAATTTTTTTTTTGAAATGAAATGTTTTAAGTAAATAGTTAAACCGTTAGACTATTTGATAAAAATAAATATTTTTAATTCTTATATTTATATTTTCAGCTTATTAATAAAGCAGTATTTATAATCCTAAAACGTATATTTTATTTAATCGGGTAACTTTCGGTCATAAGCCTTATTAATATTAAGTTAAGATTATTAATACCTTAACAATATTTATTTTAGTGTAATTCTATTTTAAATAAACAAGATCTTTGTAATAAATACGTATTTATACGGTATAATTATCTAGCTTAAAAAGCATACGCATATAAATGAATTATTATAATATAATTAAACGGTAAAAATATAATTAAAACCCGTATACATTGCTATAAACATATTAAAGCCTAAATGGGTTGTTGCAACCACTTTTATTGAACCCCCCCGCGCTGTAAGATATTAATCGTGATAAGTAGCCTAAGAATTTGCGCCTGCTGGAACATAGAAGAGAGCCCAATGTATCTGTAGGCCCACGCGCGAGGTCCGCTGCGAGCCCAAGCCATGTCATTGCATCTCTTAAGCCCATAGGGAGGTAGGTGGTGTGACTTGTCTGAGCACGGTGGTGGCAGGCCAATGATATTGGCATCTCTAGCAGACCTCATACCGTACCTCACGGCTCTACTCCTTACACCACCCACAACAGACCCCCACGAAAAGGAAGTGGACCGTAGAACATGGTCTGGTGGAGCTGAGCACTCCACGAGCCCCATAGGCCATGGGCCACAACCCCCATAGTCTGCAGGGTGAAAAAGATACTCTACTAAGTAAAGTATTTGCCCAATACTCTACTAACCTAATGTAGTAATATAAGATATTAAAGTACTGTTATGTAGATTTTGCTTTTTAATCTTAAAAATCCGGAAAATAATAATGTTGTTGGAACAGGCTTGAACGATCAATCATAATACTCGAGTATGGGGTCAAGGTCATGATGTTGCTGATGGTTGGATTGAGAGGAATCTAGCTGGACTCGAAGGTCTGGCCAAGTGCCCTCTCAATCCACTATCTTATCTTATCTAATCATACATATGGGTCCTGGTATAGATGGTTTGCAGTCTGGAATCGCATGGATCCAACACAGGATACTCTTTCTTTCATGGTTGCGATTCTATCAAACCGTCTTTCCAGGTGATCTCAGCGCTGAACCCAGCCTTCAACTCGAACCGTTGTCTTGTTATTAGAAACAAGACTATGAAGAGCTTTATTTGGAGACGATTTGGTCATCGAGTCAGCAGGGTTATCCTCACCATGGATCCATCGGATTTCTGTGATCTCATGATTCTCGTATGACTGCCGGAGCGCCATGACATCGATCATTAGGCGCTTCTTATTGGTAGTGCCGAGCTTGACAAGGCACTGGTATAGCGAGTATGAGTCTGTGCAGAGGATCAGGGGGATTGAAGGTACTTCGAGGCATTGGCAGATAGTTGCCAGTGTACGGTGGATCACGTAGCCGTAGTCATAACCAGCAACCATGCCATAGATTTCAGAAGCTAGAACGCTCCGAGTGACTCTCTTGCATTTGATAGAGGACCAATGAACAATGTTTCCGGTCAGATCGAATGTGAATGTCTCGTCATTGCCAGATGATTCATTCCCAAGGATGATGACAAATCCGATCTGTGATAATAGGTCCTTGTTGTTAGCGAATAATCCGTCAACAAACACAAAAAGTTCAGCAGTAGACAGGTCAGTCATTACAAATCGAAGTCCACGTGACTTGTTGTCTAGTTGTCATTGAATGCGTTTGTTTAGCATCTCGACATCTTTGTCAGAGGGTTCTTGGGCTTGGGCTACGACAGAATAGTCAAATGCAGCTTCTGGTTGACAGATGGAGGCAATATAAGCACCTCTTGCTCGTTGCTCAATAAATTTCTGTTTATAGTCCTTGTCACTCATATCAATCAGGACGAGCTTGTCAGCTTGTCCCTTTTGAGTCGCTGTCATGCTCTCAGTCTGAAATTCTAGGCGGCATCCGTTAAAGTCGCCAGAAGAACCAGTATCAAACTGGGTTCGTGGCTTCGTCTTGTAGCCCGCTTTTCTCGTTTTGTCTTCTTCCTTCTCTAAGAAACTGGTAGTTCCAATAACAAAGGTGTCGTCAGTTTGAAGGGCTGCGATAGCAAAGTCGTTGCCTTTCTTTGTAATGAATAAATAAGGGTCGTATACGGATGTCTCTATTTCTAGTCTTTCCTTGTGATGAGCAGAATATGTGTCATACCAATGATTCCCAGCTTCTGCGATTCCGTACAGGGGTTTATCGACGCGAAGAATCGTACCCTCTGGATACCTTTTCTTTAGTTCAATAGGCAGCTTGCATAAGACAAGACGATTCATCGGGTGTCGTGATTGCGTATAGGCCATAGTGATGTCTCGAGAGGCAGCAAGGCATCCTCGCTGCCGCAGAGACAGTGTCAGGGCCATTGCCAGTCGTTGGCTGCATCGCATGATTGTCGGAACTTGGGTCATGATATCGTGCTTTTCATGATCGTTATATCCTTGTACGACGAGTCTGCTCTTCTCGTAAGGGCGGTCATTGACGCCTTTAACAGTGCGGACGAGACGAGAGTTAAACAGCCGGGTGTCGCCGTGAATCTTGCTGTCAAACAGAATAGGGACAAGCATTTCATCGGCAAATAGAGACTCAATCTCAAGGACATCGGATTGCTTGAAGGGTTCTCCAGGGGCTGTGATCTTGCCTTCAGTACGCAGTTTCAGGGCGAGAGCGTAGTCAGCACGCTCCTTATGCGAGAAGAAAATGCCATATTCATCTTGCTGGACAAAGGAGCCAGCAAAGTTCTCTTCTTTGCTTGTAGTCGTAGTGGCCATGTGTACCACGTATATTTTTCTGGGTCGGCCTCGCGGTCGCTTCGTGC